ATTCAATCACTTTGCACAAGCCCCACCTATGAGCCCACGAGACCTGGAGAGTACATTCTTGATCCATGCCGTAGCATGCATTTTCTCCTGATTCCCATGTGAATCCTGATAACCAGCCCATTTTCCCCCCAGCATCATACTGCAGACAAGGATTAAAGTCACATGCCCTATAATGCATGTGTGACAGCATTTTGATGCTCAGCAAAGGTGACTCTCCCCCTTAGCCAGTTGTCCACCCCAGTGCATGGCCCACCTCACACTCTCAAAACAATCTAGGGCTGCCTAGAGCCGAAGCCCTAGCACTGCCTGAGAGCTTGTAGATTAGATGGGTGATTCTCAGGGCAACACTGCAGGATCTAGCTGCGAATGGCAGCCTGAGCAGGGAGGGGCCTCCCCCTCCACCACTGAGACCCTTGGGAGGCCACTGTAGGTCAGGCCAGGCTGGGGGTGGGGGGCAAAGGGGTGTGCCAGCTCTCAGGCTGTTCTCTCCTCTAACTGCACCCCAGGAAGGAGTCTTGGACCGTCAGCGTTGTATAACCACCTGAGCAGGAAAGCCTGTCATCCTGCAGCAGGACCCAGGGCTTTCTGGGATCAGGCATTTTGTCTCCTGTGGACTCTCAATCCTTGATCTGCTGCTCAAGGAAGGCCTCTTTTCTAGCTCTCTCCCTCCTCAACCATCATGTACCCCAAAACATTACAGCCAAAATCTCTCTCCCAGCTTGGTTCCCTCAGATGCCCACTTCATAGAGCTTCATTGCAATAATTTCTTCAGCTCTGTCCAGGCATCTCGGAAGCAACAATGCACAAGTGGGCCTCTTCCTCTCACACAAATTGCTGTGTCCCTTCCTGATCATCTTCTGTCTACCTGTGAGCAGCCTTTAAGATTGGTGCTGGCTGCTCAGCCAGGCTGGCTGGGCTCTGGCACTCCTGGGGGCCTAAGGTATTCTGTCTTTCCCTCTCACCCCTGAGGAGTCCTGCTTTAATCTGAGCTCAAAACAGCAACTGGCCAGTAGTAAAACCAGGCACACAGCTTCCCTGCCACCATAAGCCCCAGCAGCCCAACAGTGGCAGAGTCTTCCAGCCCTTCTCTGCATCCTGCCCAACCACTCCTTGCCTGGAAAGTCCCTCCTCCCTCCCCATTCACTGGGAAACCTCAAGGGGCCCTCTGGCCCAGTTACAGCACCTCCTGTGGGGTCCTTGCCACTCCCCGAACACCACTGCAGCCTGGGCATCCTCCTCCTGGAAGATGCTGGGTGTACCAAGCCCATCTCTCTCCTGCAGATCTCCTTGCCATGTACCGACACAGGGACCCATACTGGAGATGAGTGCCCCCTGTGAGTGTCCTCAGAGAAGCCTTGTGGCCCCTGAGGTCAACTTCAGTGTCTAGGGTTCCTCACTATCCAGGAACAAGAGATTCACCCTGACATCATCCCATCTTCATGCATTTTTCTGTTCTATTTCACATGCAGGACATGAGACTGCACCCCTAAATTTGTCTATAGGAGATAAAATATGCCCCTAAATGTGCATCTGGCACACACATTATTTTGAGTCAGTTATTTTGAGAAGAAAGAGCCATCATAAAAGCTCTTGAAAACAAGAATGAATTCTCTTTTATAAGGAAAATTCACATTCATCAAGGAATCTCCCAGTGCACCTGGAAGAGGGGAGCGCTCCTATCAGGAAAGGAAGGCAGGATGGCCACAGGGCTCTTGCCTGGCACACCTGCCCTCGCACCTGCTCTCTTTGTTCCTATACAATGGTATTTAAACCTGGAAGCAGTTCACATGTCCATGAGAACACCTGCTCAGGCTTCCTGTGCCAGAGGCATCCGTGTTACTAAATGTGTCCACCTTTCTCTTCGGTCAGCCTGAGAAACAGAGCACCTCTCAAGGTTCTCCTCCTTGCCTCTCAGGGTCCCCACTTCTCAAGGCCTCCTTTTGCCATCCTCTGCCTCATAGCTGCACTGTAGTAGCAGGGAGAGCACCAGTGACTTCCCCTGGCTTCACCGTGGCTCTTCCTTCCTCATCGCAGGGCATTGGTCCTGCTTCTCAATCTCCTGGAGATCCCTTCAGGGCTTCCTAGACCTCCTGATTCAGGGTACACTGGCTCTGGTCCCCAGGAAGTTCCCTGCTGGCCTTGAAGTCTTCCGTGTAGGTTTCTAGCCTGGGCAGTTCCTCCCAAAGGAGCTTGTAATCCGAAAAGCAATTGGTCCCAGACCATTCCTGGCTCCTGCCCAGGGTCTGGTGGAGGCCTCCGTCACCTCACTGCTTTCAGCTTCTTTTGTCTCCCAGAAAGTAACCCCAACACTAGCTGAGAAGCCTCATCTGAGGCCCATCACCCACTCTGTCCCTACCCTCCATTGGCCTGTCTCAGTCTGGCCACAACCCACAGTCTGGGGGCACCTGCAGGCCTGATATGTGCCCCAAACCCCTCCCCCACTGCAGCCTCTCCAGCCTGCTTATAATCCTGAGTACCCCATATAGCCCCCAACTGTACATGCCCTGCTTCCTCCTGAAACACCAGCCAGAGACCTCCAAGTGCGGTATTCCTCATGTATACATTTCTGTGGGGCTGGGGAGACGGCTCAGTGGAATAAGCGTTTCCTTGGCAAGCGCAAGGGCCTGAGTTCAATCCCTGGTTCCGCAAAAAAAATACATTTCTGCTCAGATGTCACTCCTGGGGTCTCCCTGGCCATCCCAGATAAGGCAGTAAGTGCCTCACAACCCAAATGTCACCCTTTCTGCAGAAAACATAATTTCTGTCACTATCTGACATGTTTCACAGTGGTTTATTGGAGCACCAGAACATGCATAAAAAATCCCCAGAACCATCGCCTTGTTTTTGATAGGTTACGTCATTAACAGGCAGCCTACCCAGGCCTGGCAGGGCCTGTGCCTACAGAACAAGAAGCCAGAGAAAGGTCTAGTGAAGTTCAATGAAGCTGGTGTGTGTGTGTGTGTGTGTGTGTGTGTGTGTGTGTATCTGTATGCTATGTACATATATGTGTGCATGTATGTCTAGTCCATATACACGTGCCTGTGTCTGAGTGTGTTTGTGTACATGTACGTGTCTGTGTCTGTTTGTACATCTGTGTGTCTATGTGTGCCTGCTTATGTGTCCCTGCATGTATGCATCTGTGTCTCTGTGTGTTTGGATGTCTTTGTGTCTACATGTGTCTCTTGAGTACATGTATATGTGTATGTCTGTTTATGTCTGTGCATCTCTGAGTTTATGTGTCTGTGTATTTCTGTGTACCTTTGTATGTCTGTGTGTATCTCTGAGTGTGTGTATATCCATCTGTGTTTATTCTTCATAATTTCCAGGAAATAATGGACTGAATCAAATCAAATTACTCTTCAGATCAAGTAAAAAAAAAAAAAAAAAAAAAAAAAAAAAAAAAAAAGGAGCAGGTGTCCTCCATCTGCAGGGACCATATCTGCATGTCACCTTAGCCTGCTGGAGCTATCAGCTGGTTAGCTGTGGTCCCTTCCTAGGCACCTGCTCTAAAGGCTCTACCTTGGCAGAGCACTGCATAGGGGGAAACCAATGATAGAGACAGAGTGGGACCAGGAGGAAGGTGCTTTTCGAGTGACCTGTTTAGCAGACAGGCTTTTCCAGGATGGGGGCAACAGTATCAAGAATCCAGCAAGGGAGCCATCCAGTGGTGGACAGGAGTGCCCACAACACCAGGTGACTCCAGGGGGCTCCAGAAGGCCCCCACACATACACCCCAGATTCCCAGGTCAGCCCACCAGGCTGCTGGCCACGGCACAGCTGTCCAGAACATAGAGCCTAGAAAGAATGGGGGCTACAGTCCAGGGAGCCCAAGGCCAGGAGAGACACCCTGTCCACATACTACTTGCTGAGGCAGGGAGAAGTTGTGACTCAGGCCACATCCCCATCCCAACACGTCCTCCAACCCAACCCAGCCTGGAGCTCCTGCTCCAGGGCACTGATTTTACTAAGGAAATAGGCAGAACCCTCTCTTTTCCATACTCAGTAGGGGGGCAATCACTGAATGTGAGGCACTGAACCAGGTGCCAGACTCAACATAAATTTTTGTCCTGCATGAGGCCCACAGAGGACAATGAGAGGCCCTGCACCAGAGTCTAAGACAAGGGAGAGGCTCCCCACTCTACCCAAAGCCCTTAGCCCCCTACCTGGTCCTGCTGGAGAGGTTGCTGGCCTGAGTTCCTCCTTACCTGGCTAGAGATGTCTCTTGGGCACTGAGGCCCAGAGCTTGTCCTTGGGCGGAGGTTCTCTGCGACCCTCCCCCACTCACCTCCCTGACTATGATTTTAGGCTGAAATTCACATGAGTTCCCATTCTCTAGGGGGCTGGAGGTCCAGAGGCCACGTTGCAGAAGGAGCACTCCCCTGAGTGAACTTGGCCCTGATCATGTACCGAGGAGGTCCAGGCTCACCCGCCTGCCAGCCACCGGAGGTGCCGCCCCCTCCCCCGCACCTCGAAGCCCGGGAGAGCCATTTGGGCGCGGCGCCTCAGGGCTGAAGGCGCAGGCGTGGTCCTGGGTTAGGGTGGGCCGCTGTTCCGGCGTCGGCTCCGGATTTGGGCTCACAGCGCTGTCCTCCAGTCCTCTCCGCGCGCGCGTGGCCCAGGCACCCCCTCCTCCGCTTCGCGGTCCCGCGCGCATCCGGCGGCGCAGACGCCCGGCGGCCTGGGGAGGGACTTGGCCGGGCCGGGCCGGCCGGCTCGCTAGGGAGGAGCCCCAGGCTGCAGCTGGCTGGCGCGGGCGGAGGTCCCGGGCGGCGGCCAGGCTGGGCCTCTGCTGTGCTCCTCCGCGGGCCTCGGGGCCTCGGCGGACTACGGGAGAAGGCGGGGGAGGAGGCGCACTCGGTTCGGCGGCGCGGGGCGCGGCTAGGGGCGGAGAAGACAGAGAGGAGCGAGCGCAGGGCCGCGCGGATCTTCTGGGCCGCGGCTCCGCCAATCTGCAGGCGCTGACGCGGGGGGCGGCTCCGCGGCGCGGGGATATCTGCGGGCCCCGCGCGGAGCGAGAGAGCTCGGCGGAGCGGGCGGGCGTCGCGTTTCGGGAGGTCGCTGCACCTGCCCAGCCCCTCCGCCCCTCTCGGGCCCAAGCTCCAAGCTGCCCGCCTAAGAACAGTCCCGCACCAAGGATCCTAGGAGGACAGCGCACCGGGAGGATCGCATGTGGACCGGAGGCGCCGCGCCCCAGCCGGGATGGATAGCCGCATGGGGTCCCCGAGCGACCGGTGAGGCAGCTGCGATCCCAAAGACCGGTGCCTCGCCCAGCTGAGCCCACAGATTCTTCAGCCTCGCGGACAAGGGCGGCCGGCGGCTCCCGAGAGGCGGAGCAGGACCGGCCCGAGATGGCCCGGAGAGCCGGCGCCGTGGCGACAAGCGCCTTCCACGTTGTCCGCGCCCGGGGACAGCCCCGGAGCTGGTAGCTGCTCGCGCCGGATGGACCTTGACCCGCGAGGCAGCGCCGCGTCCTGCAGAGCCGCGGCTGAGGCGCGCAAGAGCAGCGCGCTGGCGGAGGGCGCTGGGTCCCCGAGCCCTCTCTCGCGCCGGCCATGAAGATGATCCTGGTACGCCGGTTCCGCGTGCTCATTCTGATGGTATTCCTGCTGGCCTGCGCGCTACATATCGCGCTGGACCTGCTGCCCCGGCTGGAACGGCGCGCAGCGCGGCTCCCCGGGGACCCCGGGTGCTCCTGTGCGCAGCCGGCAGAGGGGAAGGCGCCCGGCTGGGCCCAAGCGAGGGCGCGTCCCGGGGAGCCCCCGGCCCCTGCCTCAGACGCGGGCGACGCGGGCTGGCCCAACAAGCACACGCTGCGCATCCTGCAGGACTTCAGCTCCGACCCCGCCTCCAACCTCACGTCCCACTCACTGGAGAAGCTGCCGCCTGCTGCGGAGCCTGCAGAGCACGCCCCGCGGGGCCGGGAGCCTGGCGCTCCGCGACCCCGCGACCCCGCGCACCGTCCGCTGCTGCGCGACCCAGGGCACCGGCGACCGGCCCCGCCCCCAGGGCCGAGCAGGGACAACTCACTCCTGGCCAGGCTGTTCGCGCACCCGCTGTACAGTGGGGCCATCCCACCGCTGACGGAGGACGACGTCCTGTTTAATGTCAACAGCGACATCAGGTTCAACCCCAAGGCGGCGGAGAACCCTGACTGGTGAGCAAGCATGGCAGGTTGGACTAGTAGGTTCCGACCCCTGAGAAAGCTAAGACTTCCGGTAACAAAGGTGCTCCCCGAAGAAGGCTTTCCACCTGGGTACGGTGTGTCCAGGTCCAGGGCCTGTGGAGGAGACCCAATGGCCCCTGTGGGCGGGGCTGCCTTTGTCTCCAGATGCTCCCTCCCTGGAAAGGGTGCGGTGGCTTGGAGGTACCCTGCATCCTGGAATGCAAGATGACTGGCCCGTGGCCCGTGAACTAGGGGTCCCAGTGCTCCACTGCAAGGAGTGGCACCAGCCATGGGAGGTAAAGGAGTCAGGCCATGGATGAAAGTGCAGGGATCTGGTGCATTATTGAGGAGCGCCACCTTGCCTGTGAGTGTGCAGGACCCAAGTACTTGGTGATGCTTTCCTGGCAGACACCTTGAGAAGCCCTGGATGTGTCTGACAAGTCTGGTAAAAGCAGTCCCAGAGGATAGAATTAACAGAGAAGTGTGCTGGCAGCAGCGAGCCAGAGCACAGAGGCCTCTGGGTGGAGGTGTGGACAGCAGGCAGCTGCCCTGGGCTGGCTTCGCTCTGTAAAGGTGCAGAGCCACCCACCAGGGAGCATCACTGGAGCTGCCCTGCTTTGCCCTTCCCCCAAAGCCCTTCCTCCCTCACAGATCCAAATAAGCAGATGCTTCGGCCCAGAGCAGTGAAATATTAACTTTCCAGCAAGGTCAGAACAAATACTGTAACTACCTGCAAAGGTTACCCAAGCAACAGAGTAAAGGCCAGACTTCCAAAACCCTCAATGAAAATCCTCCTCACCTGAAATCAGACCAGGCCCAGGGCTTTGTACCTACCTAGGAAGGCTATATGTAGATGGCTCTGAGCTTTGCCAGCCAGATTTGAGGAAATACTCAGAAACTTGAGTCAAAACAGTGCTCCAGGCTTATGGCTGTCTGTGGCAGAGGAATAGCCCAGAGTGAGTGGTCAGGGCTGGCTCCTGAAGGGTCTCGAGCCATCTTTGTGTCTGTGTAGGACTGAACTGAGGCCAGAAGGGCCTCACCTGTGGGTGCCTTGGATGTGAGAAGGTTCCACTTTCTACCCAGCCCAACAGGCAGCCCCACCCTTGACCAGGGAAGGAAGGACACGCCACGTGGGCAGCAGGTCCTCCTACTAAGCCTGGGCAGGGGTGAGCAGCTGTCTCTCTTCCTCGCCCCCTGCCTAAGTCTGTTCATGTTAAAATCGAATTTAGCCCCTTGCATCATTCCTGCCTGTTTGTTGGAACAAAAGCAGAGACTGGGAAGGTTCCTGGCACCTGGGCATACCTGTGACCACCAAGCATCTGGTCAGAGAGAGGGCCTCCTGTCTGCTCCTAGGAAGGGCCAGCAGCCCTGCACCCCAGCTGACATCATTTTATCGAGCAGTTCTGGTGACCCCAAAACAGACGCGGCAAGAATTGCGCTGACACCCAGGATTTAGTCTTGCTGTAGTTATAGCTGTCTGTGGCATCTCGAGGGTAAATGAGAATTACAGGCCTCAGGTGTGTTATTACTTGGGCAAACCACAGGCCCAAAGAAAGTGCAGAGGTTGCAGCGTCTCTGAGCAGGGCCACTTCAAGTCTGCATTTTAACCAGAACTCACAGGCCATAGCTCAGGACCAGTTCTTTTCGCTGGGGATCTTTTTTTTTTTTTTTAATTGACTTTGGATCCTCTTTGCTTCCCTAGGCCACATGAAGCTGCTGAAGGTGGAGCATTCCTGCCCACTGGGGAGGCCGCAGTGGATTCCTACCCCAACTGGCTCAAGTTCCACATCGGCATTAACCGATATGAGCTGTACTCCAGGCACAACCCAGCAATCAATGCACTGCTGCAGGACCTGGGTGCACAGAAGATCACCAGCGTGGGTAGGTGCCCGGGTACTGGTGGCAGGTTAATATTGGCTGACATGTGTGGACTGCGGCCTGGCTTTGCCACAGCGGCCTGGGCAGCCTTGCTCACAGCTGAAGTCTCCTTCCCAGGGCAGCTGTGGAAAGCAGCCTTTGAGCCTGGGGTGGGAGTGGAGGATGGCCTGGGTGCTCTCAGCATTGGAAGTACTACCATCTGCTGCAAGGTAAGCAGGCCAGTAAGATACCACTTCAGAGACAGAGGGATACTGGCCGGGTCACCAGGACACCATCCCCCACGGGACACCATCCCCCACAAGCGAGTGGAGGGTTGCTCCTGGTGGCTATAGTCCTTCTTCAGAGCTTTTTCAGGGGCTCTCTGATTTCTGATCTGGCTCCCCTTGGAGATCCAGCCAGGTGACAGGGAGTGACCAGGGCTCCCTCTTCTGGGACAGTGCCAGTGGCCCAGGGTGGAACAGTTTGAAGGCAGCAGCCTCAAGTGCTTTGAGATCTGAACTGCACACAAAAGGCATCCATTTCTGATTTCAAGAAAGTGTTTCAGGCAGCATCTAAATGCCGGGTATGGTGCTGTTGCCATCTAGTGTGGACAGTCACCAGTGTCCCGTTAATCACTGTTGCTTCTCTGAGGGCTGAGGCCACTGTGTTTCCCAAAGGTGCTCCAGATCACACACCCTGGAGTAGAGGGAAGGCCTCCCTGTGTCGTGGCCACAGTGTCTGTCTTCACATATGCAGTGCTGCTGCAAGGGCCACCTCCAGTTGCAGGGTCATGGGCTTCTGTTCAGATGCAGACGGGCAGGGAGTTACCTGTGCTGTCCTGATGCCTCTTGAGAGGCTGCTGTGTGTGGCTCCCCACTGAGCTGTTTGCTGGGCTCTCACCTAGCTGTGGGAGTCACAATGCAAAACTTCTAATTTGTGGCCAGGTCACCAGGTGGCCAGAGCAGTTAGTGGTCTTGCCTCTCTCCGTCTTGCCCAGAAGGAAGAAATGCCTTCCTGCTCTGAGCCTCTCCTTGCAAGTCCAAGGGCTCCAGGCCATGTTGGGAGCAGTGCTTGGGCCACATCCAGGTGTGCCTATCCCTGTAGAGAATAAGTATATCTGTTAAAGAAATGTATGATGAGTGTGATTATCACTAGCAATACACTGGGGTCCTCCTTGTGGATGGTGGGGAGGTGGGGTGACTCCATCTTCCACAAGCACTGATGTTTTCATGGGCCTGGCAGCCAGGAGGAAGTAGAGTCACATGTGGTCACAAGGCTGTGTGGCAGCTGTGAAAGTATGCATGGGCCAGCAGGCAGGTAGGCAAGCGGCTGTCCAGGGCTGGCACTGCTCTCTGCAAAGGTGCAGGTCTCTGGGCCCAAGAGCTCAGGAAGTAGAAAGAGGATGGGCTTCTGGGTCCTGACCAGGAGCATTGCCCACCTTAGAGGTCCTCCATCCCACTCCACTGCCTTGGCCTTGATCACAATGCAGTAGACAGCTCCCATAACCGGAGGACCCCAGCACCAGGCCCTAGCAGGCCTGTGTAGCTGGGCACCCTGGCATCAGCTCAGTGCTACACAGCCCATAGTTGTCCCCTAAACTCTGATGGCAAAGCTGGTTCCACTCAGGCATTTCCTGGATGGGACCATTCATAGGATGAGAAGGAACTGTCATTCGGCAGGAGCTCAGCAGGTATGGAAAGTGGATTAATAGACAGGCCAGTGACAGCGGCAGGATATGGGATGCTGGCCCAAAGTAAGATGTGATCCTGACTCTCCTAGTCACTAGATGGAGTGAGCTTAGGCAAAAGGATTTAACCCTGCTGCCTTTGGTTCTCACCTAGAGTAGGGGCAAAAGCTGACTGCCCAGGTGCTTATAGATGCTAATGTTTGGGAAGAGTGAGAGTGAGGATTCTGTAAGGAGTATGTGCCGGCTTTCTTCTCCCTCCAAGTGGGTGACATGTGCCAGGCGGAGTGTGAGCATCCAAGTGCTTCCTCATCTCAACCCCCAGACACTGTTGTCCCACAGGCTTATAGAGGTGGCCCTATGACACCTGCCCCAGTACCCGGGAGGTGCCAGTGGGAATAAATGACGATGGGATAAGAGTGGAGCCCAGGAGCTGTGGCATTTCAGGCAAGCTGAGCTCCGTTGTCTAGGGAGGCAGGGCTGGGCAGGCTCCTGCACCTTCCTAGAATCTCATCCATCCCTGCTGTGGCAGGACTGAAGAAGACCCTCAAGAAAGGCTTACCCCAGGGAAGACCCGGCTCCCCAGAAAGCAGGAGGTCCTCCCCTTGGACAGACCAGTTTTCAGCAGCTGATTGAGAACCCACACCCAGGTGTTCTGCTCTGCAGAAAGTGGCCTCAAGGAGGCTGGTCCAACCTCACTGAAGTGTCCCAGGTAACACATGCCCTCCTGGATGTGGTACCTTTTTATGGCTCCATTCCTGCTGCCCCAGCCAGCTGAACTCTTGTCAGCTACTCCAGGCATCCTTGTGTGTAGTAAGATCTGGTCAGAGCCTTCAGGTGGACGCTCAGCTGGACACAGCAGCCCTGGAAAGGGGACCTGTATGTGTGGGGCCTGGCACCTCTAGTGGTGGCTGGCAAGGCACCAGCTCTGCCTTCCAGCATCCATTCTACAGCCAGGGGAACAGACCTCCAGGAGGGGAGGCTCATTGGTGGTAGCCCTTCGTTGGTCTGGCTCAGCGCAGTGTTTACTCTTGAAGTTGTGCACCCCACTGTTAAACGTGAGCCTGGAGATGTGACAGAGAAAGATGCTGGTGAGGTTCGGCCCTCAGAATGGTTCCATTAAATCTCCCCTGCTCAGAGCTATTCACTCCAATCCAACAGACTGTGTGGCCACAGCACAGCTGGTTGTGGCCAACAGAGGTTTATTTATAGCCAGGCTCCTGGCTGCCTGGAAACCGGCTGTTGCCGCCTTTAAAGAAGCTCGGCATATGATCCACCTCTGCTCAGCTTGAAGTCAGGCATGCAGCGCCTTCCACTCCAGGCCGGTGATAATTAAATCGCTATCATGCACAATTATGGATGCAAAGAATAAATGACACAATTAACTACTCTACTTGGAATTATATTTAACCAAAGAAAAAGAAGAAGTCACCAGGGTATGAGGATCCAGCGGCCTCTGGTCCAAGTACAGACATCACCATCCTCCATCCAGGTCAGGACAAAGCCTGCGGCTGCAGAAACATGGCTGAAAGAATGTGGCTGAACAAAGGAAAACGTCTCCACAGGACAGAAGTCCCCAGTGCTAATTGATCTGCCAAGGGGAAGAAGGAGTCGAGCTACAATCCAGGATAATTGGCTGTAAGCTTCCAGGAACAAAGGGACTTGGGCTGGGGCAGCCCCTCACACACAGCTGTGTGTACTGGGCTTGAACACAGCTGCCCTGTCTGACTAGACAGAGGTGGGTCTCCTGGGAGGGCAGTGCCAGCCCAGAAAGGCCACAGACCTCTCATGTGCACCCCAGCTGCAGTTCACAGTCCAGGCTCTGACTTAGTCAGGGGAGGGACTGAAGAGGCCCAACTATCCAGATGCCTGTGACTCCAGAGGTGCCTCAGACCTTCCAAAAGACAAAGGTCCTAGAAGAGTCGTGGCTAGGGTCACAGAGGAGGCTGCAGCAGTTCAGCCTTGCCCAGCTCCTTTTCCAGCCATTAGCTAGAAGACCAGAAGTGAAAGTCAATGCTGTTGAGGCCCCAGGGTCACCCTGGGGCCTGCCTTTTCCATGCTGAACAGAGACAGCAGCATCTGGAAGCAGCGCTGAACCTGCAGAAGGCTCCCGATGGCCCCTGATCTCCCCACCAGGCAGCACAGTGGAACCTGGTACCATGGGTGACTGCTGTTCCCAAAAGCCAGCTTCTTAGAGCAGGCATGGCACACACACGGCTCCAAGCTAGAGGCAGCCAGGGCAGAGGACGCAAGCCTGAGGTGTATGCCAACTGGGCTATGGACTGCTGGCCACTGCTGTGGGTTGGAAACTCCAAGTGACAGCTGGGACCAGAAAGACTCAGTTGTGTCAGCTCCTATCTGTCCCATCCTGGACCCTCATGTCTGAGCTGATACCCACGGTCCAGGCCTCTGCAGTGCCATCTGGGTAGGAGGCCCAAGCGCACACCCTGTGCACTTTTCCAAGGTTCCAGGATAGTTGGCAGTGTGGGTGCCCAGAGTGTGGGCCATTTCCAATGCTCCTGTCTAGGCAGGGCTGTGTGAGGGGAATAGGAAGAACAGGGTGTCACTTTCTCTCAATGGGAGCCTTCTGGGGAGACCCTCTTCATAACACAGACACCATCAATCTTCCCTCCTTTCAGACAAGACAGTGGGATGGGAAGCAGTTGAGTCCCCTCCCCGCAGTAACCCAAGGACACAGTCTCACCTCAGATGAGAGGGCTGAGCCCAGCCTCCACTGAGCTCTGGGCTTCATTTCACATGGGAACTTCTTTATATGATCCATAGAAATGGAGTTCATATAAGGGTGGGCACTGGTATGTGGCCCGGACTGTGGGTGGCTACTTAACCATCCTACACACATACCAGTCTCATCCTTGTCCTTTGTGGGCACAAGGGACATGGCTGTACCTCTGGTCACATGAAGAGATGATAGGAGAACTGGTCCCATATCTGCTGCCCCTCGGCCTCCCTATTCCACACAAGGCTGCTGGGACCCAAGCCTAGCCATATATGTCCCCCTTGGGGGAGTCTCCTACCTGGTGCTGCCTGTCATCCCTGGAGAAATTCCCAGATGGAGCTGGGGGCGCCGGGGGGGGGGGAGTCATGCCATAGCCCAAGTGCCTTAGGATTTCCATGATAGTCATTCTTTGGCATAAAAAGTTTATATTCTTAAGCATTCTCTCAGATTTCTGTACTATGCTGAAAGGGTCTTCCATTCTGTGCTTCGTTCTGGGAAAGGATCATGAGCAAACCCAGCAGTGCCCAAATAAGCGCTTCCCTGGCAAGCGCAAGGACCTGAGTTCAGTCCCTGGTTCCACCAAAAAAAACCCCATAAACCCAGCAGTGCCCAAGCATCGTGGTGGCCTTGGGACTCGGTACCAAGGGGCACCATAAGACAGAGGTGCAGGGTGCTGGGCTGGCACTCGTCACCATATTTAGGTGACAAAACCTGCAGACATATGAGCATTGTTAACCAAGCATACTGCTGTTCTAGACAGGCTCTCTAGATGGGCATCCTGGGGAAGATGCAGAGCTGATGCCTCTGGTCTATGAAGCATGGGAAAGGGAAGGGCAAGGTCTGGTGTAAGTGACAGTTGGGCTGTGGTGGTGTAGATCTGGGTGGTGGCCTCAGAGGGGCAGAGGGGAGATGGGAGGTGGGAGACAAAGGGTGGATTCCCAGGACTCATCCTGCCAGGGAATCTCCAAGAGGTGGAACCTTCTTTGCTGGGGCCTTGGTGGGATTTCTGCTGGGCTGAGGCTGGCTGGGCCAGGGCTGACCTCCTTCTACTGACAAACATGGAGAGTGTCCGCATCAGCTCTCCTGCCTGTGCTGTCCCTTGTGCTTCAGAACCACTTCTGTCCTTAGTGACATGCAGACATTTCCTCCCACCTTGGCCTTCCCTCTGTCCTTAAGAAGAAAACCCGTGTTTGTGTGCTCTTTCTCAGTGCCTGTTCTGGCAGAGCCCATGTCCCTAGGGCACAGTGACAACAGTCCGGGTAGCACACAGGCTGGGGTTTCCGGCATCTCTTGCCTGCCATGGGTACACCCCTGGGCCTTTGCTGCGGCTTGAGGCAGCATGTCAGCTGGGGAGGGCCTGGGTTCACAGCCAGGGCCCCATTTCAGCCGCAGACACCTGTGGATGCATGGTGACTTGGCCAGCAGAGAGTCTATAGTCCCAGGGCCCGTGGTCACTAAGAGGCTTAGTGCCTTTGCTTCCAAATTGCTTTTCTGCCCTGAAGGAGAAGCTGGGTGTATACAGGGTCAGAGAAAGGGAGGTTGGATTTGCTTCCAGGGCAAGAGTGATTAAACTGATCAGATTTGCATAATATTTTGTTATTTAAAAACTAGGATTGCAGGCCCTGGAGAGAAGCTGTCACCTGGGAATGTTGTCCCCAGTTGACCCAGGAAGAGATGCTTAAGTCCGCAGACCCTGGTTATTAAATGGAGATAGGAGCATGAAATGGGGCTTATTCAGGCCACTACTTTTTTAATAATAGCTTTTTTTTCATCTTATCAAAAATTTAGTAAATGTTTGTTGTAGAAATTTAGAAAGCGCAGATAAGGAGAAATAGAAAATTTAAGTCATTTGCAATAACACTTGGGAGAGAACCAGGGCTCTGGGTGCCTGCACACATCCTGCTTGGAAAAGTCCCATGGTGTCTGGCTCTCAGAAGATGGCTCATAGTGTATACTTCCTAAGCTGCTTCACAGATCATTGGAAGCACTTCCCTTACACTTTGCTTTGTGCCACTAGACATTCTTAGACACTGCTTAGGAGAGTGGCATTGTTGTCCCTCTGCCTGACTCTGATATTTGCTTGCATCCTACACTGGGGTGGATGTGAACTATGTGGCTGCTGTCCCCTAAGGAGGGCCTGGCCTCAGCCATCCCTGGACCGACCTCAGTGTGGCCCCAGGGCAGGAAGCTCCCCTCCTGGTCAACCTGCAGAAGGGAGATCTATGCTCTGGGAAATGAGGGCCATTTTGTGATCTCTTCATCCTCATCCTTCTGCGGTACTAGAAATCTATGCTTCTGAAAGCTTCCATACCTACAACTCCTGTGGACAGAGATGCTTCCAACCCAGGATCCCTCAGAGTGGCTCTACTCTAAATCCAGAAGTGTGCCCTATAGGGACTGCTCTCTGACCCCAGGCCAGCAGTGGGGTGTGGTTATGTGCACAGCTGTGTGTGCAGGCATGCATGTGTAGGTATGTGCAAGTGCATAAGTGGGAGGGAATGTACATGTATATAGGGAGTGTGTGTGTGCATGTAGGTCTGTGTGCAGGTATGTGTGCAGCTCTGTGTAGGTGTGTATATATGTATAAGGCGTAGTGTGCATGTGCATTTACACCTGTGCTGGTGGCCAGGTCTACCTGCCTGACCCTTGTAGAGCCAGACCCTTTGTCACTGGGTCTGATCTGCAGAACCTGCTGTGCACTGACAGCTGAAAGTCAGGAGGGACCTGGCTGGTGGGCAAATAGATCTGGGCACTCCCCTCCCTCCCAAGAACAAGGGGCCTGAGGCAGCCAGTGACCCTGCTTCTCTCTCCCTCCTTTCTGCAGCCATGAAGTCGGGGGGCACGCAGCTCAAGCTCGTCATGACGTTCCAGAATTACGGGCAAGCGCTGTTCAAGCCCATGAAGTAAGTGCCTATTGCCCTGGGGTCAGGCATGAGGCTGGCTGGGGTGTCCCTGCTAGGAAAGACTACTTCCTCCAGGCAACGTCGGAGTGAGCGGCAGGTGCTGGCTGAGCTGGCATCCAGGGCAGTGTGTGCCCTGGGCCTCTCTTCTCTCATAGCCACCCTCGCCCACCTGCACTGCAGGCCTGAAAGCCACTGGCCACTCTTCCCATTGAGGATGAGAGTTGCTTTTTTAACAAGGGGCTGAGCCCCAAAGATAGCCACCTGGAAAGGGCCTGTGTACTCCCCTGTGGCTTCAGGAGGCGTCTCCATTTAGGATGTCTCAGTCTGGGGTCTCTAGCAGTGTGGCAGGCCTCTTGCCTTTGGCCCAGCAGCTGGAAATGATAAAGAGGCCAAGTGCCAATGAAATGTTATGACAAAGCCAGATGGTGGCCAGAGTTGACCCTCTGCCTGCAGCTCACCCTAGCAGGCCTGTGGCCAAGGGCACTGTGTCTGGGGGCTGTAATCAGGGGGCTTCCTTCCTATCTCTGTGGACATGGAGTTACCAGGTCCTGTGGCATTCTGGCCCAAGAGCAGGCACATGGCTAGACACTACTCTTCACAGCTGAGGGAGCTTAGGCACCAGCCTCATTTGCACTGCTTGCACCCTCATGAGCAAGACAGGGGGTGATATTTCCGCAGCCCAAGGGTGACATGACCGGGCAGGTGTGTGGTCCTCCACCATGTCTTAGAGTAACTGCCGGGGGAACATGAGGCTCCTTGGGCTTCTTCTGTACCCTTTACCCCTATCCCTGGTTAAGGAGGGTCAGTCATGAGATCTCAGTCCTGTGAGATTGTTTTAAAGCCCCTCACTCCTGTGACATGCAGAAGTGCTCAAGGGCCAGAGCTCACCAAGTGACAAATGGGCCTGGACAGGTAGCATCTGGCTGGGATATGGGGACAGTAGAGGAAAATGACAATGTTTCCACCTGCCTTTCCACTGTGCTCCAAGGGCACAACTCCTGGAGACAGATGCCCCACCTCTGATGGGCATATACCTCTTCCAGTCTAGCCAACATTTCACATGAGGAGAGCTCCTGCAGCCAGGGCTCAGTGCCTAATGGACTCAGGTGGCCTGCCCAGTGGGGAGTGAAGTCTGGATTCTCATCCTGGTCCTGCCCCTGCCTGAGGCCCTGGTGCCTAGATTCTCCTCCACAAGGAGCCAGAATGTCTAATGCATTCTGGAGTGTCACCAGTGTGCCATATACTGAACCCTGCAGTGCTCCCTGTACCCCACAACTCAGGGTATGTACAACATGGGCACGCCATGGTGAGGGTTGCTCACAGGCCTTCAGGTTTTGTGTCATCCTCATGGTGGAGCCAAGGGAGTGCTGCCTGCTGCCATGTCAGGTGACAGCCTGGAGCTCAGAGCCCTGTACACTGTACACCTCCCTTGCCACTGGTGGGCACTGCCCCGTCCCTACAGTGGCTATGCGAGGGGCTGAGTGCAGATGGCAGGTGCCTACATCTGGAGACCTGGCTCTGGGGTCCCCTTGGGAAGCCCAGTGGGTGGGGCCTGGCCCTCCAGCTAACTTCAAGGCATGGACTGAGTAGGAGGTCAGTGCCAGGGTACAGTGGGATCTTGGACACAGGGTTGAGATCCTGCAGCAGGTGGGGAAACTGGAACCCACAAAGGGGAAATATGTGCAGTTAGACAGAGGCAGAGCAAGGATGTGGGTGTGTGAGGCCAGCCCAGGCCTTTCCCCTAAAGTGTGCATGGCACAGTGGGCAGCCAGAGACAGGGACCCAGTCTGTAGGTGACATGGGCACACCGTAGTCCTTGCTATCCTCTGACTTGGTGGCCTTACTGCTTCTCCTTGTGTCAGGTCCAGGCATTTCTGGGTAGCTGAGACCCTCCTCTGCCCACCTAGACTGAGTCTATTGTAGACTGTGGCCTGATTGCCACCAGCCAGACAACCTGATGAGCTTAGGCCGGGCCAGAGCCTGAGGCTGCTATTTACAGGGTACTTGTCCCCTGTGGATGTGTTGAATACAGAAACAGTTGTGGTTCATGACCATAACATTAAGAAATTAAAATCCATCATTAGCAGTTCTCTGTAAGTGTGGACTTTCTCCAGCAAGCTCATAATCGCCTCCTGAGTTCTCACTGCAGAAGCATGAATTAATTAGACGGACACAGCATTTTCCCTTGGGGACCTTCGGTGGGGAGAGTGGAGGGCAAAGTATGATAGACAGGAAGGGAGGGAAGCCATCGGAAGTCAGTGGATGCGTATTTAATAGACATGGGAAAACTCATAACTAGCACATTTCCCATGAGCACCTAGATATGCTTGCTTTAGGGTTAAAGTGAGTATTTAAGCATTTAGAAAATGACTGTATTGAGATATGCACAGACCCTACGGTTCACTGACAGACTGCAGTTTAATAGTTTGAGATACAGTGACAGGTCTGTATAGATAAATCCTCACAGACATTTATTTCCCATGTATGTAAGGTGTGAGAGACTGAACCCAGGGTCTCTGCCCTGAGCTACATCCCCAGCCCTCTTTATTTTTTGAGATAGGGTCTTGCTAAGTCACTAAGTTGCCCAGGCTAGAGTTAAACTTGAGATCTTCCTGCCCCAGCTTCCCAGAATGCTAACTTTCCAGGTATATCCTGCCATAACTGGCTCCCACAGACAATTCTAGTCAATTTTTCGTTTTTCCACAAAGAAATTACTTGGAATCTTGCCGTCATTCCTAAATCCCCCCTTCTCCTTACATCAGCCACTAGGACCTCCTTTCTACCTCTCCACATATTCTGGATTTTCATGGTAGCTTTGGAGTCATGTGGGGTGCAGGGCAGTGTGTGGGCTTACTTTGTGTGACCCCCTATTTGCAAGGTTCATTCCTGCTGTGGCCCACGATGGAGGATCACTGTGCTCCATTCTGTTCCGTTGCCGAATAACATTCCCTTTCATGGATGGACCACATCTTGTTTATCTGTTGTCGAGTGGCACTGGGGCCGCCATCACTGTCTAAAGCGAATCACGCTGAATACTGAACACTCACACCCAAGTTTTACGTGGACGTGCGTTTTCAGTTCTCCTGGCTGTGTGCCCAGGAGGCTTCTGAGTCACAGGACAGTTATGCTCTCAAGGGTGAGTCTGGTTCCCACAGCTGCTGCGCCATTTTAAATCCTAGTAGCGAAACCCAAGACTCCAGGAACTCTGTGTCTGTGTAACGCATATTATTATCTGTCTCTTGAATTGTTGCCACCTGCACGGGTACGCAGAGGTTTGATTCGCAGTTCCCTAATGACAAGTGGCGTCCAGCATCTCCTCCTGAGCTTCACAGCCATTTGGTGTCTTCTCTTCAGAGCTCATGCTGTCCTTCAGTTGGCTTGCTTCTCTTCGCTAGCAGGTGCTACAAGTTCTTTAAATACTCTGGATATAAGACTCTTAACAGATATGTGGTGGCTTGTGAGGCACAGGCTTTGAGTTTTTAAGATGACCTTTTTATTTTATTTTATTTTATTTTTATTTTATTGGTGCTCCTTTTGCTTTTGGTACAGAATTTAAGCTTGAATATTGAGGAAACATTTTAGGAAAACTGTAGGGTGGGTGACACCTGGATTTTGCCATCAGTGGACAGCTGGCTTGGGGACTCTAGTGTGTCCACAGCTCTGCAGCCACCAGCAAAGGCCTCCCTCATGGGAGCTCAAATTTGCCTGTCAACAGGGCCTTGGAAGAAGAGGTCTCCAGGCTCCTCCAGGGTCTTAACTCTGGAATCTCGTAGGAGACAGACACTTCCCTACACGTTTGAGGGCCGCCAGCAGAGTAGGTGGGTTCAGGTGAACGTGCATATCCTCCAGTGCAGGCTCTTGAATTTCAACCTGCTTCTTGGGTGGGGGCCTTCCGACTGTGCCCGTGGCTGCTTGTGATGCCCGTGGCCACCTCCGGCAGAGATAGTCATCTAGCCAATTACACAGAACTCACCGAGCCCTGGCCCTGGCCTGGTGCCAAGTACTGGGAATACAGACATGACTCAGTCCTGGAGCTTGCAGGGAAGCTGCAGGGCGCTGACCCTGGTTGTGAGTCCCCGCCAGCTGCTCTCTGAACGTCCTGCTACACTGGGGGAGGGAGGGCAGTGTGTGCAGCCCCCTAGGGCTGCTGTGCTTGCTGCTTATAGACGTGTGCAGAATGAGAGCAAGCTCGAGCTAGTGTGGGGGTGGGCCCTAAAAGAACAACACCCAGAGAAGGCTTGACAAGAGTTGAAACATGGGGGTTGGGAGGAAATACTGCCCAGGGCGAAACTTGCAGAAAACAGACTCCGGCTGAGACCCCGGGGGGAGAGCATGAAGGTCCTGTGAAGGTTGGCTTCCCTTTAGGCCATAAGCGTAGCCTGTGCAATGGACTGGGCATCATTTGGTGCCTTCCAGGATGAAGTAGCCTCTACAAGCACCAGATGACAAGTCCCACCCAACTCCAGGCAGCAGACAGCTGCCTGCAGCTATCTGCATTGGGGTTGGTTATAATGAGACAAGGCTAATCCTCCATCCCCCAGGTACTCTAAGTTCACGCCTGGCATGGTGCCCTATGGCAGGGCAGACACAGGACACACCTACCCCAGGGTGGGGCTGGGAAGTCATACCTGTAAGCACAGACTCTGAGAGCAGGGTGAGGCTCAGCAGCCAGAGAAAACAAGGCCAGGTCCACAGATAGCTCAGCAGACGAAAGTGCCTGCTTAGGTAGGCATTCTGACCGGGGTTCAATCCCCGGCGTGCCAAGCCAGTCCCACACCCGGGGCACTCTAAGACAGCGACTGAGACTGGGCATGGTGATCCAGGCCACTCTGAGATGGTGACTGAGACTGGGCATGGTGGTGTGCTCCTGTAATCCCAGCACTTGGGAGGCTGCAAACAGGAGGATCACTGTGAGTCCAATCTGTGTAGTGAGGCCCTGTAGACCCTGTAGTAAAATACATTTTAAAAAAAGAAGGCCAGGTCCTGAGTCTTTGGGACTA